ATCTATCTATCTATCTATCTATCTATCTATCTATCTATCTATCTATCTATCTATCTATCTATCTTTTTAAATTCTTTTTTCCCTCCACATGTGATTTTAGGCTTTCCATTTAACATACCAGTAAGGCAGATAGAACATATATTTATTAGCTGAAGAAGGAGCACACATTTATTAAGCACCTATGCGCTAGGCACTGTGCTAAGTGCTGACCAAATATTATCTCATTTGATTTTAACAACTACCCTAGGAAGTAGGTGCTACTAATTATCCCCATTTTACAATGGAGAAAACTGAGGCAGACAGAGGTTAAATGACTAGTCCAAGGTCACAGCTAGTAAATATCTGAGGCTGAATTTGAACTTGGGTCTTTCTAACTCCAGGTCTAGTGCTCTAACCATGGTGCCAGGTAGCTGAGTTATCTTATCTATAAAATGGAAATTATAATAATATTTATTTCCCTATCTACAATGGCTGTTATGGGGAACACATTTGATATAGCTGTAATGTGAGTTGTTTATTATTATTGTTGTTGTTGTTGCTGTTAATTTAAAGGCAGCATGCCATATTGGATAGACAGCTTTGGAGCCAGGAAGACCTATGTCCAAATCCTGCCTCTGACACATATTGGCTGTGTGTGACTCTGGGCAAATCACTATACCTTTCAATGCTGGAGGTAATTCTGTAAGACCATAATTGCAGATAAAGTGCTGGCTTGCATTGGTAGAAGGAGCTGAGAGTTCCTGGTACCAGTAAAATCACAGGTCTGTTCTCTATCTATAGTCTCCCTCCTGTCCCCATGTCCTCGTGGCAAATCCTAGGCATTTCTCTCTTAGGATTCATTTCCAAGAGAAGGAGAATACTTCATTTTACAGATGGAAGAAACTCCATCTGTCTCTAAAGATAGTCTTAGTCACACAGCTGCTTAGTAATGGAACTAAGATTTATTTCATAGACTGGACTAGGAGTTAGAAAATCTGGTTTCTACCTACAGTCCTTCCAGTTACTGGGCACATGACATTGGACAATTCATTTAACTATACTGAGACACAGGATAAGGAAAAATTCCTACTGTGCAAACTCCCCCCAGTAATGCAAATTAGTAGCTCATATGCCAACTATGCTCTTTGAGGGTTACTTAGAGCACTGAGAGATTAAGTGACCTGCCTATGTGTCAAAGGCAGGACCTGAAACCAGTCTGTCCTGATCTGAAGGCTGACTTTCGATCCCTGACACTGCTGTTTCAGTTTCTCATCTGCAAAATGGGGATAATAAAATCCTACTATGTTCAAGCTGACAGGGGGCCTTAGAGATCACTTTCACTACTTTACAGATCAAAGAACAAATGGCCCTAGACAATGAAATGATTTTCCCAATGCCAGTGTGATTTGGGAAGCTGGGCATTGATCCCAGGTCTTCTGATAGGCAACACTAGTGCTGACTATGCTTAAGCTGTGTACTCATTAAATACCTGCTCTGCCATCTTCACTGAGTTCTAAGAATCAAATGACCTCGTGAATAGAAAGACACTTTGAAAACTAAGTGTTATGCAAATGTAAGGAATTAGGCAACACTTCGCATAATGTCTTTGAATAACGAATATTTGAAAAATAATGTTATTCACTTTTCCAAATCTTTCCACTCCTCCCCTTTCCATTTTTCTCTCTGGGAAAAAAAAGGCAGAAGGAAAAATTTTGAAATGTTGAAAAGGGAGGTTTGTCTGCTCACTTTTATAGACCAGAACAAAAGTTGGCTCTTCTCAACTGAGTACATCTTCCAGAAAATCTGAGCCAAACCATTTATCTTAAGGGCAGCCCCAATCATTGAAACCCATCTTGTTGGAGGCACCAACAGAAACTCATCTTCCCAGTGGAATGTAAGCTTCTTGAAGGAATTGGCTATTTCATTTTGGCCTTCGTATGCCTAGCATTTAGTACAGTGCATAGCACAAAGTATACACACTAAATGCTTATTGATTGATTGATCTTGGGGCAGCCTGATCTATTAGCATTAAGCATGAGTTGTCTTTATTCCTTTTTTAACAAGAGAGCAAAACTCATGTTCACACTCCATAGGGAGGATAGGGATAGGGATAGACATAGGCATAGGGAACTGGATTTATGATTTCATTGGTAGAGGGAATTCCCAGATATGGAAGTTCCCTCTACCAATTCAGGTTGGGACTTTCTCTATAATTTACAGTCTTAAAGAGTTGCCTAGAACCTTGAGAGGTGGTGACTTACCCAGAATCATATAGCCAATATGTACCAAGTAGGATTCGGACCTAGGTCTTCCTGGATTTGAGACCAGTTCTGCAAATATCATGCCACGATCAATGTTTCAGAGAAAAGCTCCCCTTAAATTCATTGAAGCTGCTCATATGATCAACATCTCTTCACTCCCACCCCACCAACGTATTTTTTCCCCTCAGTGAGAGAGTGACTGAGGGTTTTGATTTGTTTTTACAGAAGGGAAGCAACATGGTATAGTGGCTAAGAAATTGGACCTGGAGTCAGGAAGACTTGGATTCAAATCCTTCCTCAGATGCTTGGTAGCTCTGTGACCCTGGGCAAGTCACTTAACCTCTCTGTGCCTCAGTTTCCTCATCTGTAAAAGGAGAGAGTTGGACTTGAGGGCCTCTAAAATCCTTTCCAGCCCTAAATCTATGATCCTATATTTTCCCTCTCCTAGCAAAGATCTGGGCACATTTTGTTGTTGTTCAATTGTTTCAGTGGTATCCAACTCTTCGTGACCCCATTGGGGGTTTTCTTGGCAAAGATACTAGAGTGGTTTGCCGTTTCCTTCTCCAACTCATTTTATAGGCAAAGAAACTAAGGCAAACAGGGTTAAGTGATTTGGCCAGGATCATACAGCTAGGAAGTGTCTGAGGTTGGATTTGAACTTGGTTCTTCCTTACTCCAGGCCTGGTGCTCTGTGCACTGCCACCACATAGCCACCTATGTCCTAGGTACATAGTAGGTACTGTGGAAGGATTGCTTGACCTTGGATTCAGACCTTTATGAGTCAGCTGAGGAAGAATTAACATATCCTTCAGCATCTAGATTGCAACACCAGAAGAGTTATTTTATTTATTTATTTATTTTTTTGCTGTCTCCTCAGAGCAGGTCAGGATTCGTTGTTTCCCCACCTTTTGCTGTTTTTTTCACCTTTTGAGAAATGCTTTAGATCTGGTGACGGCATTGCTTCAATTTCTACCCATCCTGTTTCCTCTGAGAAGCCACAGCAGCCATAATTAATTCATAGTTCAAACTTCTAAGCAGCCAGATTTTTAATCCCTGATGAAATGGGTTGCGGATGTGGAAGTCATAGTTCTCCACCCTCTAATTGCAAGGGGGAGATAATGCTGCATCAGTGTCACCCAGTTAGAATACCACATCAGGCTGAAAATAAATATCACATAAGCGTTGAAAGCACACTTAGCCAGGAAAAGTTTCTTTCTTTTTTTTTTTCCATATTAGAAATTTAATGTTAAGAAGTCATAGTCTTATTCAGAAGGATGACTTTTTAAATATATATTTTTTAAACATGGACACTGAATTCTAAGTAAACAATTTTTCATGCTTAAAGTGAATTTTGAGTCAAATGGAATGACTTGTTTGCACTGACTTGTTGAAATGCAATTACTACCCAGTTTATCCAATTTGCATTATTCTTTTCACTGCTACTCATTTACATATACATTAAACTTTGAGCAGATATGCTTGCTGTATTTGAGTGGTGATGGTGACAGTGGCTGCCAGCAAGGCCCAGAAAATAGAGCAAAAGATAAAAATTTGTGTTTTTGAGATGCCACTTGTCTAATGTGCCTGTCTTCCATTCCCTGGTTCTAATCATCCTTTTTTCCTTATGCAAACAGGAATCAGATTATGTTTGGAGGTCCTGGGGGATTATTCCAAGGTCCTTGAACTAGATAATGAAAAGCACTAACTCAGGCATTTGTGCCCTCTTTGGCATAGCAATGTTCTGACTCTTACCAATTTTTTTTTTTAATCAAGAGCTTCTAACTTTAGTCCCAGAATCTCCTAGAAGGCCTCAGTACCACAACGAGTCTGTGTCTCTCCCTAATGCTGATAACTCATACTTTATTTTGATTTTTTTTTGGTCCTCAGAAATATGACAGGCAAACATTTTCAGGGTCAAATGGATATTGTAAAATGATTTTTCACATCTGCATGGACATTTTTACTTTTCAAAACACTTTCATGCACATTATCCTGTTTGGTCTTCTCACTATTTCTTTGGGGGTACACAAAGGAAATATCACAATCCTCATTTTATAGAGGAAGAAACCAAGATGCACAGGTAGTTTTATTTTCTCAAGGCCAGTTTGTTCCATTCAACTGAGGCAGGAGCCTTGTAGTAGATGGACAACTGAACTGGGAGTCAGCTGGCCAGGGTTTTAGGCCTGCCACTTGATGTATGACCTCTTGCAAATCATTGGATATCTCTGGGCCTTAGTTTCCCCATCTAAGGCTCATTTTCATTCTGAACTCTGTATGAGGGAAGGGATCCAGAAATTCTAGCCTGGTCAGGACATCTTAGTCTTCTGCTTTCTAGACTAGTGGGCAACTTGTCCCATCAAAGATTAAAAATGTGGATCTTCCCTGGAAGTTCTATTCCCTTCTTTTTTTCTCTTTGTTTTCTGCTTCAATAGTTTCTTTTTCTTCCAGGTCCCCAAACCCAGTTCCTCCCAGTTTCTCAGAAAACAAGCACAGTAGTGATAGGCAGTTGGGTATCAGCGGACAGCCGGGTGGTACAGAGGATAAGCATGCTGGACTTGGTGTCAGGAACACCTGGGCTCACATCTTATCTCAGACACTTATCAGCTGTATGACTGTTGACAAGTTGTTTAAACTCTCCCAGTCCTTTCCTTTCCTTTAAAAATAGGGATAATAATAGCACCTAACTCACAGGGTTGTTGTGAGGATCAAATGAGATAATGTTTGTAAAGGGCTTTGGAAACTTGAAAGGGCCTATGTAAGTGCTACCTACTCATTAACATCTTCATCTTCATCATCATCATTACTGTTACCCCTTCCGTAGTGCATTGGCTAATTTGATATTGGGTGACTTGAGGTTAAGTCCATATTTAAGTTACACATTCCTTACTGATGTATTGAATGTTGTGAAGTGGGAAACTAGAGTATTATAAAAAAGTAGAGGAACAGGAAAAGGTCACCTTGAAAGAAATGAGTTTTGCCACCACTAACATTCATAGTAACATTCTGTTTGTTCCCGTATATGAGGTAGCTCATGGAAACTTTACTTTTCTAGGTCTCAGTTTCCTCATATGTAAAATGAGGGGGCTGGAAGAGATATTAGAAAAGTTCTCCTGCAGCTCTATTTGATGACCCTCTGACAAGTGCAGAGGGATTTATTTCGTAGGTAGAGAGAACTGTGGCTCAGAGGTGACTTGTCTGGCCTGAGTTCCATGGTGTGTCAATTGGTGAAGGGAGGGAGAAAAAAAATCCCCAAATTAAGCACATTCACATTTATCCCTCTGTCATCCTCTTACACACACTTTTGATACCTTTTCAGCAGTTCTTAGCCCCCACACATTGTCCTGGACCTATAAGACACCCTTACTTAGTGACCTACCTGGTAAAACTCCAGTTTTCTATATCTTTGCTAGCACTTATCCACATATCAAAACTTACCTGTCCTTTGTCTCATCTTCTTTATGCCCTTACTCTCTGTAAGTGTGATAAAAGGGCACTCATTGGTTAATACCTTATATTTGTATATTTGTGGTACATTTGTACCTCAGGCACTGAAAGGCTGGATAAGGGAATACTGATGCAGGCAGGTCTTCTGTTTGTTCATTAGTCACAGTGAACAGTGGCTGCTGACTTCTATGATGAGGGCTTTTCTGGCCCACAGCAAAGGCTTGATGGGCAGGGCAGGGTCCTCACACACAAAGACCTAAGAGGGGCACTTACCACATTTTTGTAGAAGTAGTAAATGACCATCCTCGTCAAACGTGAGTAGCACCAGTGGCCGTGTACAAGCAGGAGCTTCTTGAGATGCTTGAAGCGAGAGATGGCAAAATCACTGGACATCACAGCCTGAAAAGTGAGAGCTGAAAAGTCATCTAAACTTGACTGCTTTACTTACCCTGCCCCAGATGATTCCCAATCCCAAAGAAACTGCCCAGGAAGGAGAAATCTCACTTTTGTATCTCCAAGGGGCAGGAGCTGAAAGGGTAATCACCATTACATGATAATTGGACTAATTTGCTCTGCCATCTCTTTTGTTTAGACATACAGATCACTTCCCACCTCATTTCTGGTGAGATGGAGGACCAAGCCACAGTTACAGTTGGGATGAACAGCTTTTCATTCCTGTGATGCCTGTTTCAGGAAAACTTCTAAAGGACAGATTTTGACCAAATTAGACAAATGGTTACTGGGGTTTTTTCTTTTTGAAGGCAATCAGGGTTAATTAAGTGACTTGCCTAGGGTCACACAGCTATTAAGTGTCAAGTGTCTGAGGCTGGATTTGAATTCAGGTCCTCCTGACTCCAGGGTCAGTACTCTATTCACTGCACCACCTAGCTTCCCCTGACAAATGGTTTCAAAACTACCTTTCTAGCATCATAAGTTTAATTTGTGATTCTGGCTATCATCCTAAAAAAAATTGTGGCTGGCACAGATTTTCAAATGTATTGACAGAGCATAGTTCTTGTAGTATTTTTTTTAATGGATTACATGAAAAAACTTGAAACATGGGTAGAACTTACAGAGATGTAGGATTAAGCCAAGTGAAATTGATAGCTCAGAGGACTACTACTTTGCACTTAACTTTGGTTTGAGAGCTTGGTTTTGTAATGCAACCCACACATTGATTGTACAGTCAGTTCCCTAAATAGCTGGTTTTGAACTTGGTCAGACATTGGACAGGGAATGTAGGGAAGCCTGAAAGCCAACCAACTTGTGGATGGTAACGAGTTGGCCTGTATCTCTTCTTGAGAGCAAATCACCTACAAACCTTAGGTAGTTGCCTATATCTAACATAGGGAAAGAGTAAGGAAAAAGGAGAATAGTAATACCTGCATGCCTTCTTGCCCAGATATCCCAATTCCAACATCAGCAGCTTGAATCATGCTCACATCATTTGCACCATCACCTGAGAACAGATGGAGAATGACTGATGAAGAGTGCATAACAAATGGGGCTTCTGTGGTTTTGTGTACATTGCAAAGCTGAAATGTGAAAAGACAGGCTTCAGATGCTTTGGACAGCAAACCAAACCAGAGGGACTATGAGGGAATTAGAAAACATTCCTTCAGTGTCATCTTTTTGTCTCCATTGCCTAGCATAGTGCACGGAACAATTTAAGTACCCGATCAATACTTGTAGAATTTTATCAGTGAGGAATAAGAGGCCAAGAGACTTTGGACAAGTCACATAGTCACATAGTCACATAGCTATATAATAGCAGAGTTTGAACTAGAATTACAAGCCAATGACTCTGGATACAGAGTTCTTTCTAGTTCACCTTAGTTTCCTCTCTTAGCTGAGTCTTTTTCACAAGGCACTGAATGAAACTTTAAGGGAAATCTGTCACTAGAATATTGGACCCTAGAGACTTGTCTTTTACAACTTTTCTGCTTTTCTCAATTTTTCTGATTCTATACATTCACACAGATTAAACTTTCCTCTCCTAGGTATGGTGCACATGTCTACCTCTGTTGTTGTTTAGTTGTTTTTCAGTTGCGTCCAACTCTTTATGACCCCATTTGGAGTTTTCTTGGCAAAGATCCTGGGGTGGTTTGCCATTTTCTTCTCCAGCTCATTTTACAGATGAGGAAACTGAGGCAAACAGGGTTAAGTGACTTGCCCAGTGTCACACAGCTGTAAGTGTCTGAGGCCAGATTTTAACTTACGACAATGAGTCTTCCTGACTCGAGGTCAAGCACTCTATCTACTATGCCCATGTCTGGACCTAGACCTGTCAAAATTCCTTTATTTCTTCAAGGTCCAGTTATGGTGCCACCTCCTTTATAGCGTTCTCTGATTTTCCAGGTAAATTTGATCTGTACCTCATATTTCCTGTCCCACTTTGTCTGGTGCCTATTTGCTTTCATCCTATTCTACATTGTGTCATGTTATTTCTATGGATACACATTATCCTTTCCCACTGGATTGTAAGCTCCTTGATGGCAGGGGTTGTGTTGTTTCTGATTGTTGCATTGTGATCAGTCCTGGGAGCCTGCATTTTAGAGGAACATTGACAAACTAGAAGTTAATAAACTAATACATCCAGAGGAGACCAAGAAGGTGAGGGGCCAGGAGGTTGTGCTTTATAGCAGCACTGGCAGAAGGAACTGAGGATGTTTAGCTTGGGGAAGAGAATCAAAGGGAATGTGATAGCTGTCCTCAAGCATCTGAAAGGCAGTCATCTAGAAGAGAAATTAGGTTTATTTTTGTTGGCTCAAGGGAGAATAAGAAGCAGTAGGATGATGTTCCAGAGAAATAACCCTTTGGTACGTGTGTGTGTGTATACGAGGATTTGGCTCTCCCTCACTGGAGGTCCTCAAGCAGAATCTGAGTGATCAATTGTTGAGCATCTTTTTTGTAGGATACTTTCACAGGATTTTAGTGCTCAAAGGGACCCGGGAGAGCAGTTGGTCCAAATTCCTCATGTTATAGATCAATCAATCAACAAGAATTTATTATAGGTGCCTCCTGTGTGTCAGATGAAGAGACTGAGACTGTTCCAAAAAAGGGTAAGACTATGTGACGTTGAAACCCCTTCTACTTCTGAGAATTTGTCATTATGTGATTATGTGCTAAGTACCTAGAACAGTGTTTGGTATATAGTTGTCATGATAAATATTTATTGAATTGAATTGAATTGAACCTTAGAAAATAGGATTGAATGAAGTTTTGTTTGGGGCAGATTTAGGGTTTCTCCTGAGGCAACCAGGGTTAAATGACTTGCCCAGGGTCACACAACTAGTAAGTGTCTGAGGATGCACATTTAGTTTTAATAACTTAACAAACTTAATAAGTAAAACAAATTAACAAAGGTGCTTTAGGTGGGGCCGCTAGGTGGCGCAGTGGATAAAGTACCAGCCCTGAAGTCAGGAGGACCAAATTTGGCCTCAGACCAAACACCTGACACTTACTAGCTGTGTGACCCTGGGCAAGTCACTTAACCCCAATTGCCTAAAAACTAAAAAAAAGGTGCTTTAGGGAATCTGGCATTAATGTCTTTGTTTTCTGTAGCATGAGACCTTCTTCTGCTGATTGAAAGGGATCTTTCAAAGGGATAAGAGATAGACCAACCACTACATTGTTTCCCTGAAGATCCCTTTCTTCCCCAAAGCCTGATTCTGAATTCACTTTTAGCAGCTTATCTCTGAGTCTGCATTGCCTCCACTTTATTTATTTTTTACAGCTCCTTCTCAGTAATAGGCTGCAATTAAATTAATATTATTCACCATAGAGAATGCTGAACTCGAAGAGAGAAAAAAATTCTTCCCATAATTATTTTGAAACAAATTTATTGATCTCAAAAAAGTAGCATGTCATCTGTGGCTGCCTTTATTCTTCCCATAATTAGTTTTTTTTTTTAAATAATGTGGAAATGAATTATTTAAATCTTCCCCATGGCTGAACTGTCTCAGCCTTTAACTTCTTCCATTAGCAAGCCTTGGAAAGTGGAGGCAGTTTCTCTCCTGAGCTGTCTATGTTTCTGTTGCTATGGGATTACAGTACATCTCTGACCCTAAAGAATGAGCTCTGTAATATTTTTGTGATGAGTGGGAGACTGAAGCTCAGTGGAGGAGAATTCTGGATCCAAATGGGCTGCTCTCACCAAAGGTTTGCTCTCTTATAAACTCTACGCAGCTTAATGTTGCCTTATGCTGAATACTTAGGTGAGATGTAATTAATAAAGGGGATACTGTGTAAAGTGTATTGAAATTTTCCCCAAATTTCATGCTCCAAAATCACACTTGAGGATTGTAGATGAAGAAGGTAAAATGTAATGACTTTATCTGTAAGGACATTGCTGTAATTCTGATTCTTTTACTAAGATCATAACCTAGGTTGTCAGCTCTTTTAAAGCAGGGACTATCTTTTGCTTTTTTTGGTATATCCAGTGCTTAGCACAGTGCCTGGCACAGCAGGTGATTAATAAATATTTATTTACTGACTGAAAGGACCTTGGATGGTAGCTAGTCCAGTCCTTTTATTTTACAGTTAAGAAAGCTGTATCCCAGAGGCTTACACACACTCAATAGACAGTGGCAGAATTTGAACTGAGAACTTCTGACACTAGTGCCAGCTTTCCATTGTATCCCAGTACATCAGTTAGGGTCAGAGCACTCCTTCTGGCCTAGGGTTACTTCTAGCCTAGGGTTACTCAGTGGGAAATCAAATGTAATAAAAACAACATCTATTTAAGCATTTGTTTTATAAGTTACTAAGCTTAGTTTTGGAATGTAGGAGGCCAGAGGGAAAAGCCTGCTAGAGGATCAGGCTCCTTTCTGTGCCTCTGTTATTGATAATTTCTCTCTGCTTTACCTGTACTTCCTGGATTCCTGGCCTTTGTCTGCCTTAACCCTTGAGACCTGGTTACTTCATTCTAACTTACTGATTTCTTAGCTTCTTAGAACATTCACTTCTTTTGACTACATAAACCACAATCTTCTTGGATTCTACTTTGATCTCTTGGCTGTCAGAGCCTTGGCTTTTTTCTGATCTCTGGTCCTACTGTGATTTTGACTCTATTTTTGTTGCTGTTCAGTCATTTCAGTTGTGTTTGACTTCATGAGTCCCATTTGGGGTTTTCTTGGCAAAAATGCCAGAGTGGTCTGTCATCTCCTTCTCCAGCTCATTTTACAGATGAGGAGACTGAGACAAACAGGTTAAGTAACTTGCCAAGGGTCACACAGTGAGGAAGTATCTGAGGCTGGATTTGAACTCATGACCATGAGTCTTCCTGATTCCAGGCCCAGTGCACTATCCACTGCACCACCTAGATGACCATTGACTCTATCCTACTGATCCCCAAACCACCTGCCAAGTTTCATTCTGGTCCTGACCCCCTTCCTGGCCAGCTGGATCCCATTGTTCCCTTTCCCTGGTATGAAAATTACCTATGGATAGAGTCATTACTTTCAACTGGTCCCGCACCAGCTTGACTACCATGCTCTTCTGGAGTGGAGTAGAACGACAGCACAGGACCGAGCGGCAATATTTGGTCAACTCCAGAAATTTCTTCTCTAGATTCCCTTGGAAAATGATATTTAAAGTCTTCCCATCAATCACCAGTCCAAAATCTGAACCTGTAGCTCCCATGGTGGAAGATGGCGCCTGAGAAGAAAGATGGATGCCAAAGACCTGGTTTTCTGCTTGGCTTGTGTCATGTCTCTTCACCTCTTCCAAAGCACAGTTGAGGATTGATTCACAGGTCTCCTTTAAAGGGAATCATAGAAGAACGTATATCAAGATTTTGAAGTCTCTCTACTTTCTTCATTCGGCACTGTAACATTTGAAATAGCATCAAAGATATTTCAGTGGAACCAAAATCCCTTGCTTCAGTGGAACTCAGGAGAGTATGACTAGAGCAAGAACTTGTTCATTAAGATGAGGGTTGATCCAGGGATAAAATAAGACAGAAAATAGTAACAACAACAACAATAATAAACAATAATAATAAAGAATAATAAATTCTACCACTTAATAAACACATGCCACCTTTATTATACTAAAGAGGATACATTGCAACCTACCTGGCTGCTGCACCCTAAGACCATGGGCCCCTTCCATCTGACTTGCAGTCAAAACCTAAATATGGATGTTGTCTCCACTATTAGAATGTAAACTCCATGAAAGAAGAGGTTGTTTTACTTTTCTGTTTGTATCGCTGATACTTATCACAGAGTAAATTATAGTAAACACCTGATAAATGCTGTTATTTCTCTATTCCTTCCTTCCCTTCTCCCTCCCTTTCTTATTCTCTCTCTCTCCCTTCATTCTCTCTCCCTTCCTTTCTTTCTTTCCCTCCCTCCTTTATTTTCTCTTTTTTCCTTCCTTCCTTCCTGTCTCTTTTCCTTCCTTCCTTCCTTCCTTCCTTCCTTCCTTCCTTCCTTCCTTCCTTCCTTCCTCTCTCTCTCCTTCCCTCTCTCACTCCCTTTCTTCCTTCCTTTATTCCATTCATTCTATTCTTTTCAAAATGCTGTCAAATCCACATTTGATTCTTACAACAACCCTGTGATATAAGTAGGATAGGAATTAGTGTCTACAAAACTTTGAAGATAAGAGAGACATGGAAATCTTTAAATGGCTTGACCACACTCATAATGTGAGTCTGTCATAGAGTGGGTCCTAGAACTCAGGTCTGCTAGCTCTGAGTTTAGTATCATACCAAACCTTTGTATCACACAATGATGTTATTTAGATAGAACTTCAAAGTTTGCAAAGCACTTTATATGAATGATCTCATTGGTTTCTCATAACAACCTTGTGATTTAAACACCAGAGGTATCATTAATCCCCATTTTACAGATGATAAAAAAAAAACAACTAAGTGGTTTGTTCATGGTCACACAGCTAGTAAGACTTGTATAAACAGGTCTTTCTGATTTTAAGTCCAGCACTCTAGCCCCAGTGTCAGATTGCTAAATCTTTTCCATTAGTCTGCCATGCACATCAGCACTGAGAAACTGTTGATACACTGAAAAATACTTCATCACCTTGCAGTCATTTCAGTTAGGTCTGGGCATGACCTGAATATGAAAGAAAATACAGATAATCCAAAATGAAAGAAGGAAGGGGAGAGAGAGGGGGGAGGGAGAGGGAGGGAGAGAGAGAGAGAGAGAGAGAGAGAGAGAGAGAGAGAGAGAGAGAG